CCTCCTGGCTGATTTGGATGCCTTTTATTTCTTTGTGTTGTCTGTTTGCAGATGCTAAGACTTCCAATACTATGTTGAATAACAATGATAGACTTCCTTTTTAAAGTCTTTAGAGACGATTCACCTAGGAAACCACCTTCAATCTTTTAGACTTCTAGACCCACAGGAACCATTTTGATCATGTTCATTGGTTTGCATTTCCCCTCCTAGAAAGTAGAAAGTTTGAGAAAAATGGCATCGCTATATCTTGATTCTTAATTGTGTGTCAACCTATGACATGAATTTGCTTGGTCTCACCTTTAAACTGAACTTTTCTCTTTGCAGGATAAGACTCCTATCTTCATGGTTGTTCCTTGCTAGAACTCAGCATGTTTCAGTCTCAGCACATTGAAATCTGTAAAGTTCAGTTCACAGAATGTATAGTCATCACTCATAGTCTACTGGAATTATGTGTCTAGACTAGAGGAAGAAGTTTGGAAGTAGGAGACACACATGTGAGCCTTGGCCTTGTCACTAACTAGATCAGTGACCTTGGGAAAATCACTGAACTGTTATTAGTCTCATTTTCTTCATCTTTAAACTTCAGCTAGTAAAAACCCTGACCTACATAACCTCTCAGGCCTGTTGAAGACTAAAATGAAATAATACATATGAAAACACTTTGGTAAGTAAAGAGTAAAAATCCTCATAACATGATTATGAAAAAAATGCTGAGCTAGCCTTTAACCAATCTATTTTTATACCAAGATTTATTACACACTATGTCCTCCTGCACTTTTTAGTTTATCCTTTTTATCATTACAACAGAAGAGCCTAAATTACCTTGCCCCTGATGCAAAGAACACACAAGTAGACATTTTGAACATCAGATGACTGGATAATGTTGCCTTCTTTACTGGTAAAAATCACTGCTAGTAGCAGGGATCTTATTCTTCCTTCCAGTTAGTGGGAGCATGATTATGTAGTGGAAAGGGTACTGGGTAGAACTTGAGATGCCTGGATTCTCAGCTTGTTCTACTGTTAAATTGCCATGTGATGTTAAAAAAAGATCACACCCCCTCTCTGTAAACTGAAGGGTTCGAGCTACTTGATTTCTTAAGTTTCTCTACAGTTTGCAAGTTCTGTTAACTACTTCCTGGCAGGTGGCTAAAAAGAGCATATGTGGGGGCACCTGGGTGGCTCAGTGGGTTAAGTCTCCAGCTCTTGATTCTGGCTCAGGTCATATCCCAGGGTTGTGGGATCAATCCCTGTGTAGGCTTCCTTGTTCAGCGAGGAGACTTCTTAGGATTCTCTCTCTCTCTCTCTCTCTCTCTCTCTCTCTCTCTCTCTCTCTGTCTCTCTCCCCTCCCCTGCTCCCCTCCCCTGCTCATGCATGAGTGCGTGCTCACGCTCTCTCTCTCTCTCTCAAAAAATAGAGCATATGTGAAAACAAAGGCTTGATGATGGAGATGAACCAAGTGAAAATAATGCAATGGAGAAAAATCCAAGGATGTATTTCTCTGTGTGGGCGTGCGCACATTGTGTGGCTAAGGGACAGATAATGAATGCACTCTAAAGTATGTTACATTGCCTGTGAGAGTAAAGGTGGAAAGTCCAGTAAGCAGGTAAAAATAGGAAACTGCATATCAAAAGAAGAGTGGTGATTGATAATACACATTTGGATTACAGTTGAAGCCTTTTGGAGTGGATAATCTCACCCAGGGGTACCACAATGATAAGAAAAGGGGGTTTTAGATGGAATCTTGGATTGTGCTAATATTTAAAAGTCAAGAAGGATCACAAAGGATCTAAAAAGGAGCAGACAGAGGAGGTGGGCAAAAGGCCAATCTGCAGAAACAGGGAGAGAAATTAAAAACAGGCTGTTTACTTCCACCTCATTGAAAAAAATCCTCACGAGTCTTTTCTTCATTGAAAATCTATTGACCAGTTTATCTTTTTGGAAGGAAGAAGACTAAAATACCAGTCGTCCCCTGAACTTTTTTTTTTTTAACTTCCTTAGCTCCACT